GGGCCGGGCGCTCGCAGGGCCGGGCGCTCGTGCTCCTCGCCGGCCGTCCAATGTTCCCGCGACTCCCCCCGCTCTTCGAGGGACGCCAGACCGACCTCTCGCGGCGCGCGCAAGGACCACTCCCCGATCCCTGGCACTCCGCGGCTTCCATCGGCCGCACACAGTTGATGTCGGCGCGGAGCTCTCCCAGCTGCGGGAGTGGATGGGGCGCAGCGCAGCACGCAGTGAGCGCGTCAAGCGGCAGGCCACACTTCGTCACGGCGTTCAGTGCACCAGGCCTCGCTGACGCCGTGCCGACGATGCTAGCGCACCGCCGCCTCAACTCGACGGACGGCTGTCGAGGAGGAGCTCTTTGAGATGCTGTCGCGGCACGCGGATGCAGCGACGGAGCGGGCGAGTGGCGGCCTCGAATCGCCGCGCAAGCAGGAGATCTGTCTCGAGGCGAGGCGACCCGTCGTCGCGCTCCAGAGGGCTGGAGGAGCTGGAGAAGCTTCAAGGCGGGCACACGTTCCAGGCCAACGCGACGAGCGACTCGGGCCAGGGCGCAAGGGTCTCCCCCCCGCGTGGTGAAGATTCGTGGCGCGGCGTGGGTGCTGCAGCAGCGGCTCCGAGCGGCGCAGGAGAATGCAGCGGCGAGCAGCATCTTTGCGCACCTCAATGCCGAGGAGCTGGGCATGGGGCTGTCGGACCTCTGTGTTGACCTCCACGGCTTGCGCATCGTCGAGGTGCGGGAAGAGTTCGACGAGCTGGTCGTGCCTGTGCTGCCTGTGCAGGGGCGGTGCGTCGTCGTGACCGGGCGCGGTAAGCACAGTGAGAGCGGGGAGGCCGCTCTGCGCAACGCGCTCATCCGCCACGTGCGTGCTCGTGAGCTGATGCAAGGCAACGGAGGGGCGCTGCAGGTGAGGTGTGTTTCTTGAAGCATGAAAAGAGACTCATGTGTCGACGATTTTGTGACGTAAGGTAAGGTAGAGTAAGGTAAGGTAAGGTAAGGTAAACGTCTCCACACACACAAAGTGGTGGGGCAAGGGGGGGCGACCCTCGCATCTCCACGCCCGGACACGGGCAGGAGCCCCACGGCATTCAAAGTGCAAGCACCGGCCCGGTGCCGTGGGTGAGCACAACCTGCACCCCACTCCTACTCCTATAACACAACCCCCACAGCGTGGTCGTCTACGTGTTCAGAAACACCAAGCAGCGAGGCGAGGGTGAAGGGGTAAGGGGCTGTGTGGGGCTATCTGTGACTACATCTAGCCTGGGGGGTAGCAGGAGGGGGGGGCAGAGGGTAAGATATGGGTGAAGCCAGCTAGTCGGACGCCTTGTCGTCGGAATACTCCTCGGAGCCGGTGTCCTCGTCGTCGTCCTCGGTCTGCATCGCCTCGCCAGCCGTGAACCTGAACACGGCGTCGGCCGGCGCCGAGGCGCCGGCGGCCGTCATCAGGTGCATGACATATTTGTCGCGGCATGCCGCATCAATCTCTCCGTGCTCGGCCAGCTCGTTCGCGAGCCAGTCCGAGGCGACGGTCGTCGCCACGGTGCCCTGGGGGACCGTGGCGCACACCACGCTAGGGCCGCGCCGATATCCGTCGTCCCTCTCTGGGGGCAGCGAATATGTGACCCGAGTCTTGGACCCGGCCTGGCTGCGCGCCCGCGCAGCTGCAGACCGTAGCCCGTCCATCACGTACTCGATGTTCGCGCGTAGCTGCGCGCGCGGGCGCTCCGCGCGCTCGGCCTCGCTCGCGGCCGCGCGCTCGCCAGCCTCCTTCGCCCGGCGCTCCTTCTGCCGGTTCTTCTTGGCCTTGCGAGACGCGGCCTTTGCCGCAAGCTGCTCATCTGTGAGCTCCTTCTTCTTCGGCGCGGTGCGCTCGATGTACGAGCGCTCCGCCGCCTTCACCGACTCGCGGTCGCCCGCGGCCTTTTCGTGCTTCAGGTCGACCTCGATGGTCGCGTAGCCAGGCCTTATCACCCTGACACAGGACGCACCGAACAACCTTGCGACACCCACCGCGTCCTCCAGTTGCGCCTTATCGTAGCTATTCCAGGGTCCGCTGCGCATCCCCGGCGGCACGACGGTGGCCGGCGCTTGCGCGCCAGCCCCGTCCGCCACCGGGTCCGCGGCCGCGGTCCCTGTCATAGCTACGCGCGCCATGGAGAACGGCGTTGGGATTGAGAGAATCGCTCGTGTAACAGAACTCGCGCCCAAAGAAAGAAAGAATTTTACTGTACAAGCCCCTCTCACAGCAGACTGGCTCGGTCGGACTGGCACTACAAAAGGCACAAGGCGACGGCCCCTTATGGGCCGTCGAAGAGGCCGGCGTACTCCTCCGGCCGACCCCCCTCCCAATCCTCCCCGGGCTCTCGCTCCTCCTCCTTCGCTAGCGCCCTCGCCCCCCGCCGGCGGCGATTCCGTGCGGCCGTAAAGAAAGAAAGCGGCGCGGCCCGAGG